TCGGCGGCTGCCGCTGCTGCTTTGGAGTTCTCGGTATTTCGGGGCATAGTGGATGCTGGCGTGTCTTACGGTGTCAAATAGTAGGACGTAGAAAGTGGCTCGAGCCCCCAGTAAGAGTTTTCGGGTGACAGAGACTTGACACACGTATTTTCTTCACAAACACGTCTTATATTATACAGGAACAGCACCACAATCAAAAGGTCAAATATAAAACCAATATATCACTGTCAAGAGTCAAGAGCGAAGTGACGCTGCCCCGTCTCGCGGATTCCCTCGTTCCATGCTTCCCCCAAGATCGTGATCGCGATAAGGCGCGCGAGGACTACGACGGTGGGCGAAGGGCACGGCCCAATGGTTCGCCGCTAGGTGTCGCGTGTGAGGGTGAGGTTGATGCCTCACTATGGATGGGGCATTCTGGTGTATGAGCTTGACTTGTACAGTCCTACTCTTGTTTTAACTCTGACTTTGTGTGTGCCTGTGACGTCGAAGAATAAACTTGTACGTTGAGCCGTGATCAAGGACTTTATTTCCCCGAAACTCTTACTGTCCTCTCCTGCCGTCCGGGCCTCCTGCGGTGGTTCCTCCAATGATGCAAGAGATAAGAAAGAACTGGGTGGGTTCTTGGGACGTTTGGACTTTCTCCAGTAGGGTCGCCTAGGTGTCGTTCTAGTTGGTAAGGGAAGGGCCTTACTGTACCGCAGTTGCTTATGCTTCTAGATCGAAAGGGCAGTGCTGTACTCCGAAGAATATCGCAAATTTTGTGTCGCCCCAGTTGGGTTGAACAGTTGTAGTGTAGTACTGTACCATGCAGGAAAGAAGCGTGTGCCTTGCTGTCATCCGAAGTATTCTTCGTACTTTTCAGAATCTTATGGTACTAATCTTGGATATCCAGAGAAAAAATTAAGTACTGTCGATTCATTTTGAACCCTATCTCTGTGAGCTAAGGATAACCTTGTGGAGAATAGTGCACTGGAGTAGAGAAGTGTTATTGTTTTGGGGCCGAGAACTGTCAGAAAATGTAGCATGACACGCAAGAAAATTATTTCTTCTTTCAGTACAGGAGTGAATATCGAACGAAGAACGGTGTGGGTGGAGGCGTTATTGGCTTTTCCCAACATTTCAGTACTGTATTCGTATCGGATGAATGAGAATTTTGGTGCGCTGGGCCGCTGGGGACCGATTTAAAAGCGCGGGATTTTGATTCGTTTCGTTTACAGTGCAGCTTTCGAATTACATTTACTGTATTGAGCTTATTTGCCCCCGCAGTAATTGATCTCACTGAAATTTTGCGTGTATCTGCAACCTTTCGCGTTGTGCCAAAAATTATCAAGAATGAGCTGTGAAGAAGAAAAAGTTCTTTGCAAGGAGCAATGGCGATCTGAGGCGAATGCTGTGATACAAGATGTTTCGTCAGGACTTCTAAGTGCGGCTGTATCAGAAGTTTTGGAAATCACAGACGGAGGAATTTACATAAATGTCTCCACGTTAGAGGGGAACAAGTATTGCATCGAGCTCAGTCCGAATGGATTTGCAATAGTGGGCAATGGTTTCGATGTTCGGGATCTGAAGGAAAAACAATATTTTGAAACTCCATATTCTCTCCTGGACTCCTTGAGCCCAATGTATCGGGAGAACTTTTACAAGCAACTTTCGTCCAAGCTGGAGGAGGTTCAAAAGCAAAGAGATTGAACCCTGTGGATTCGGGGTTACCGAAATAGTCTGGACTACTTCTACTCATTCCTGTGTTTCGTACATGTGCTTTGAAAAGATTCTGAGTGTTGTTAATTCTTCGCATTGTTGAATTGTGGAATGTTACAGGATGTGTATTCGTCGATGTTTCTCTCGTGTTATTGGTGTTGACTGGTCGCATACTGAGCGGTGTCGTTTTTTGTTTAGATCCTTGGCGCCTTCAACCGTTTCGCGCCAAATTTCACGGCGCGGGAATGCATTTATGATGAAAATCGATACACCAGAATTCCGTGCGCTGTTCACTCCCGAGCTGAATGAACTCTCCCGTTTGTTTCTTGAAAACGGATATGAGATTCGCCTTGCTGGTGGACCTGTTCGTGACTTGCTTCTCGGAATCGAGCCGAAAGATTTGGATTTCGCGACCAATGCGACGCCTGATCAGATGAAGGAAATTTTCGAGAAAAATCAAGTTCGCATGATCAACAACCGGGGTGAGCAGCACGGAACTGTCACCCCGCGTATTTTTGACAAGGAAAATTTTGAAGTTACTACACTAAGAATCGATGTGTCTACTGACGGACGTCACGCAGAAGTGCAATTCACTGACGATTGGAAGCTCGATGCTAGTCGCCGAGATTTGACGATAAATTCCATGTTTCTTGGTTTGGACGGTATTTTGTATGATTTTTTCGGCGGCTCCAGTGATCTAAAAGAGAGGCGCGTGAGATTTGTTGGCGAAGCGGACAAGCGCATAAAAGAAGATTATCTCCGAATACTACGATACTTCAGATTTTATGGCCGCATTGCAACAACGCCGAATTCCCATGATGAATCGACCCTGCAAGCAATTCGAGATAACGCATCCGGTCTGGATATAATTTCGGGTGAACGCATTTGGTCCGAACTGAAGAAGATCCTCACTGGCCGCTATGCTGCTGATTTGATTATGTGTCTGCTGGATACAGGATGTGGGCCCCATGTAGGACTTCCGAAAGAAGTTGGTGGAAGTTCGCTGTCTATTGTCTATAGTCGACTTCAAGGACTGGAATACGAAGCGATGACATTGTTGTCTTCGATTCTACAAGATGACTCGGACGTGATGCATTTCCACCAGAGAATGAAACTTTCAAACTTCGACCGAGATCTCGGTTTTTTTATAGCAGAAAATCGTGGTATCAAGGATAATGAATTATTGAGCTTGAAAACTTATCAGCTACTCCTGGCCGACGCTAAACCAGAGAGATTCAAAGAATGTCGGAAGTGGATTTTAGAGTTGATGAAGTATCAAGGGGCCAATGCCTCTTTACGGGAAGAGTTTGAAGCTTGGCAAATGCCAAGATTTCCCGTAAACGGTCACACATTAGTTCAGCACAAAGTTCCTCGTGGGAAATTGATGAGCGTCGTGTTGTCAAAATTGAAGAATCATTGGAAAGACAATGATTTCAATGCGACTCTAGAGGAACTGGAAAAAAAAATTCCCGATATTCTGCGTGAAGCCTCGGGTAATGATCTGAACATCGAAAAAGATTCCGCGGTCAGTAAACGACAGCGGAGATCTTGAACGGCTTTGAATTGTTAATGAAAAAAATGTTTCCCTTAGTTTGTTCGATTGACAATTTGCTCCTGATTCCGCGCATATTTTACCACTAGAATGTCGTGTATTAGTGACGGATTGTCGGGAATGTGAAGCCATGTTGTGTCCTTGTTGATTGAGTTCGCTTGAAATTTATGTTCACGATGCCGGATGCATCTATGAGAAATTTCGTGGAGAAGCTCAGATCCAAGAATGAAGATGTTCGAATCAAGGGCGCTCGGGACCTGTATAATTATGTAAGCATTGATTGTAAATTGTCTCGATGATTAAAAAAGTATCTTCACAAATTTCAGGTTACCACGGAGCTTCGTGAAGTCGGAAATGAGGAACTCAATCGTTTCATGGATTCATTTAATCATCAAATTTTTGAATTGGTATCATCTCATGAAGCGTGGGAGAAGAAAGGCGGTATTCTTGCCATTGGTATGTTTACTTGACCGTTACTTTTTTTCTAGAAATTGTCACATTTCGCTTTGTCTTGGATGATGTAATGGTTATTCACTCGTTCTATGATTGTAATCCGATTCTTTTGCACGTGTTTCGCACTTGAATTTCTGTTGTTTAGAATGATAGATTATTTGGGAATAGCCTTTCGGCGGTTTATCCATTCAGTTTCTAATTTTGGACCATTTTGTGTAAGAAGGATTCTTCTCAGTTCTCCTTTTTCTTGATTTTCGTCTCGTGGGATCAGGATATGCAATTATTGCTTCTTGGCCCATTTTTTTTTAGAAACAGTTTAAATGTGTGTAGACACTGCATCATATCCTTATGTGAATTGAAAACAAATTTCTAAAATTCAAGTCAAATTTTCTCCACGCTGTACGGTGAGATCAGAAACATTTTTTGGTGACTGTCTCTGAGTTATCCAGCCCTCCGTGATAACCCAGAAGTCTTGTTTCTTTTATTTAATACAGTAAGATGAAAAAAATAGCTGGACATCAGAAACGCTATATTTTCCACAATAAATATACAGTATTTGGCTTTGACTCGCTGCTTTACCAAATTTTCAGCATGCAAAAACTTTTGATGTGATCCAACCGTCACTGATTGTCAGCAAGATTGGATGATGAATGATTTTCCCGAAGTTCGTAAACTTTGTGTTCTTGCTATTTTTAAAACAATAATTTGTGCATATTTTTTTAGAACTTGAAGGTTGCTTGGGAAAGAAAAAAAAATTACGTGTTGGACTTTCAAGAAACTCTTTGTATGAGGTGCACCCTATTTTTTTGTGGAGTGAATTATGAGAAAGTGCGTCTTTTATTTTTGTAAATGCTAAAAATCCTTTTGTGCATTAAATTTACGTATTTTATTTCGAAACTGTATTGTAAACTGATCAGATAAAGATACATTTTCTCGAATTTTTCTTTTTTTGTGCTAGAATGCCTGATCACGGTGGATGTTGGCAATCAGGCGACGCGTTTAGGACGTTACACTTCATATTTGCGTAACCTGTTACCGTCGAACGACCACAACGATGTCGGAGTTATGCATATGGCCGCGAAAGCAGTTGGGCGTCTCTCACTCGTTAGCGGAACTTATGAATTTGGCGAATACGAGATGCGGCGAGCTCTGGAGGGACTCACCGCGGATAGAAACGAGTGGAAGCGGCATGCAGCTGTGCTTGTCATCACGGAACTCAGCCTCACTATCCCGACATTTTTCTATCAGCAGTTCAAGCAGTTTTTTTCCTGTATATTTTACGCTGTTCGTGATCCGAGTCCTACGATTCGAAACGGCGCCGTCAGTGCTTTGAGGCAAGCGCTCGTCATCACTGCTCAGCGGGAGACAAAAGAGTCTCAAAAGCCAGAATGGTGATAATATTTTTTATATCTCCGCCTTCATAATTGGTTGTGATACAATATTGTCACGTCGTGCTGCAGTGTGAACTGAGATAATTAATGTGCTACTTTTTCATATTATATCACGTTGTTCACGATTGTCTTGCTTATAAACAGGTATCAGCAATGTTTGGATGAGGCGTTCCTCGGTTTTCATGAGGTCGTGACAAAGGAAAAAGGTATATCTCGTGACGATCGAATACACGGTTCTTTGCTTGTTTTGAACGAGCTCTTTCGAGTGTCAAATCTGGATTTCGAATCCTCGAAAGCCCACCTTGACACATTTCCCGGCCGGCAGCCAACAGGAGGACAGAAAAAGGTGCGATACTAAATTATTTTTTATATTATTGAGATAAACATACGGTAACATTTCAAAATTTATTTCTTCTGTTATGTTATGCTGGGAATTTCAGAAGTGGATTTTTCCCTTTGATTTTTTTAGGAACAAAATTCTGTTGGAAAATGGATGCATTATTCCATCGGTTCCTCGAAGCACCGGAGCAGACAGCTCACGGTGACTTATCCTCTGCATGTTCCATTAACCGAGACGATCAGTTCTTACCGTCCATTTGTTGGTCGCTCCGGAACTGTGCTTGCACAGCGTTCATACTATGGTGCAGTGGAATGTGGGCGGAGAGCCCCGCCTCTTCTCGTGAATGAAGAAACTATGCCCTCTACGAGGCGTCCTGTATCGCACGAAAGCGTCGAGTGTCGATTACTACTGACGCAAAATTTCGATTTAATTTCCGATATGGTTCTCAAGCAGAAGAGCTCGAAAAATGTGCATATTCAAGCCACATTGCTCGCCTTGCTGCCGCGATTGGCTGCGTTCAAAAGAGCGAGATTCGTCAGCATGTGAGTTTTTGTCCCCCCTCCCCGATTTTCTTGATGAAAAATTGCGTGGAATGCGCGTGCCCATGATTTGCAGCAAAGCCCGTTTTGTTACTGTATTAAAAGTGACGAAAATGATTTTTCAGCGGGACCCTCCGTATTCCTTGGCTACCTTCATTTCGTTATCCATCAATTCCTAATTATTTCGGGTTTTTTCTGAAATGTAATACCCATTTTTTCACAAGTTATCTTGTGTCAGTTATCTTAGTTATCTTGTGTCAGTTTCGAAGATACTATATTTACTTGAGTACCTCGAGCCCTAAAGTGATACGCACACTCAGATTCTTATCCTGCAGTTTTGATAAAATCCCATCCCCCATTAAGACACGCACCCCACTTCTAGTGACTGAAAAACTAAAATATTTCAACAATAGGAGACTCAAGAGTTTGAGTTCGGACTTAAATTTAACCTAACCTCAAGTAATTTTCAAGTGTTTTGATTGAAAAAGCTTTCCCTGTCTGTATTAGTGGTCCAAAATTTCAGATCAAAATTAAGTTTGATGCGCACCTGTGTTTCTAAAAAAAATGTAAAATATTATCCCCTAAGACGCGCACTCGCCTCTTTCTCTCTCAATTTCGAGAAAAAGGTACGCGTGGTACTCGATTAAATATTGGTAACTCTTTCCAGGTATTTGCAAGATGCTGTGACACATTTGCGGGCGTGTCTGAAGCGGGAGAAAGAACGGTTTGCGGCATTCAATGCCATTGGCTTGATTGCAGTTGCAGTTAAGGAAGACATAAACCCGCATTTGCCAAATATATTAGAGGATATTCGCTCTGCTCTTCCGTCGAAAGTGAGATTGGTTTTTCTATCGACGATTCATTAATTTGGTCGAAATTTGAAGAATATAATTTTTTTCTTTTTAGGAAAGTCCTTTGAAGAAGCGCTATGCTGTGGATTCATCTGTTTTTACTTGCATATCCCTTCTTGCTCGAGCAGTTCACGTCACTATTGCTCCAGACATAAAGGAAATTCTGGAGCCTATGTTGGCCGTTGGATTGAATCCTTCTCTAACAGCCTCTTTGCAAGAGATCGTCACGAATGTAAGTTTTTTTTTGAAATTTTTTTACAGTGATGTGTTTAACAATTTAATTTGTGGCATAAAAACTCTGGATTTATCGAAATGTTTCAAATCTTCGATGATCAGATACGGATTTCAATAGGCTGAAAAGCTATGAAAAAATGAATTACTGTAAGCCAGAAAAAGAAAAAAACGAAAAGAATGGTCTCTCCAATTTATTTTTAATTCGGCTAAGACCCTATTAACTCGGGCATAATTTAGTGTACAGTACTGCGTTAGTGATGCTTATGAGTATTCAGAGGGAACTGAAAAAATGAAAAGTTAGAACCTGGGATAACTAAAAATTAAAATACAATACTTTTTTGTAAATCCTAAATACCGAGTGACGTGCAGCAGAAAGGGAACAGTTTTCAATCTTGGTGGACGAAGAAGGGTAATTTATGAAATATTTTTTTAACGTTTTCAGACTTTTCACTCTAGTGCAGCTGTCTGGTCCCCTCAATATGGTTGAAGAGATGCGTTTAATTAAAACAATGTATTACCCCTTTTTTCCTCTAGATTCCACCTTTGAAGAGAGAAGTGGCGGAGAGTCTCCTGAAAGTGTTGTCCTTCACGTTGTGCCTTAAACCGAAAGCTTTTGGAATTTCCGGGTCGTTGGTGCAGACTGAACAAAGTTTGAGCGCCGTTAGCAGCACGTTGTCTCAAAATTTGGCGCAGCGCTCTGCCTCGCCGTGTCCAACGCCGCAGAGTGGCCAGCTTACCTCGGGATTATCGGAGCAGGATGTTTCGAGTGTTGTTTTGGCGTTGCGAACTCTTGGTTCTTTCGATTTCGAAGGTGAGGCATTGCAGATTTTTTTTGAAGATTATTATGTAAATATAAGAAATATTTCCGTCGATTTATATTGAATTGTACTACAGATTCCTAATTGTTCGGCGAAAGACTGGTTGCCTCCGTCAGAATCAAATATCTACCGGTTGTCTATAGCTACCTTCTTGACAATAGGAAGAAATTACTGTATCAAGAAAATATTCTTCAACCATGATTGCTTACACGGCTTTAGCTGCATTGCCCTTTTTAGCCATATGACAAAAACTACTCAGATCAAGTGGCTAAAAGAAGTGGCTTTTTCACCGTGAGGCGTGTAATATTTCCTTCACAAGAGAAATTTATTCTCTTAGCTATGTTGAAAATGATGTTGCAACAAGCGCCTTGAGGTGATGCGTTTATAGGGCGTTACAAATACTGTACAACTGTGGAAGATATATGCTTTCAAACTTTATTCAAGTTTTTCTTTACCACCTCTCAAAAAATGGATCGGAAACAAAGAATTTTCCATTGCAGCCCGCAGTAACGATTATGTATGAGCAGCTCTGGTGTAAGGCGTGATGATCACCTTTTTGGCATCGGGATTTTAATGGAGTCTTCTGCTCAAAAATTTCAGTAAATCCTCGTTCAAAAAGCGATATTAAATTGTACATATCGAAGGTTCGTACGAAACCTGTATCTGAATTCACGATCTCCTCTGTATCAACAATTAATCTGATGTCAACGATATTTTGACAATTTTTCACAGGGCATTCTCTACTTCAATTTGCGCGGCACTGTGCGGATCAGTTCCTATTTTGCGACCAGAAAAGCGTGCGTCTTGAGGCTGTACATACGTGTTCGCGAATGCTGCTTCCAGTTCTACCGAATGCTTCCCCTGGGAATACCACTATGGCTGTGGTTTCTGACGTTTTATCAAAACTTTTGGTTGTTGGAGTTACAGATGCTGGTGAGACATTTTTTGAAATTTTAAGTATCAATTACATTTTCTCATCTGATTTTGAAAAATTTTTAGAATCGGAAATCAGATTGTGCGTTATTGAAAGTTTGGAGGAACCGTTTGACCAGCACCTTGCCCAGGCAGAGAATTTGAACATGCTGTTTATGCTTTTGAACGATGAAAACTTCGATGTGAGATTTGCTACGGTTGCCGTTGTTGGGCGGCTTAGTGAGCGGAATCCTGCATATATCATGCCAACACTTCGGAAATGTTTGATGCAGGTGAGTGGATTTTAATGAGAGTAACCAATCACAATTTGATGGGACGCGTTTATTTTGATGATTGATATAAATCTTCCGCGAAGTCTATTCGAACTATAATTCATTTTTTAAGATGAACTTGAAGTTTTTACGTTTCGCTTTACAGTAACTGCGAAGTTTTTTTTTTTTTTTAATATTTTTTTGGTGAAAAATCAGGTGAAAGGTTTTTTTTTCGATTAGTTGTTGACAGATATGGAATTCAGCGGGATGGGAAGGAATCGTGAGCAAAGTGCCGAACTCTTGGGCTGTCTCGTGTCGAACGCATGTACTCTAGTTGAGCCATACATGGACCCAATCCTGAAGGTTTTGATTTCACGCGTGAAAGAGAAAGATCCCAGTCCTCAAGTTGTTATCCAAGTGCTATGGGCAATCGGAGAGCTTGCTCAGGTACGTTCTTCGTGTATTTATTTTTTTCACAGTCGAGATTCAGCAATGTCTTCTCATAGGTTTCTGGGCCAGAAATGAGTGTTTGGTTGGAGGATTTGATGCCAATTCTCCTGGAGTTGATGCAAGACAGCAGTTCTGTTCAAAAGCGTGCATTGGCGTTATGGAGTTTCGGACAAGTCATTGAAAGCACTGGATATGTGATCAAGCCATATCAGACTTACCCCACGTTGTTAGACTTGCTATTTTCTCTTCTGAAAACCGAACAGAATGCCAGCATTAGGTAATATACTTGTCCATTGCATACAAGGAGTTGTATCAGATCAAATGCTCATAATTATTTTAAAGGAGAGAAGTTTTGCGAGTACTTGGTATACTTGGAGCTTTGGATCCATACAAACATAAGCAGTCGCGTGGAGAAATCGATGACCTTCGGATTGCTTCTGCCTACACCGATGAAAAGACGGATAAAGAAGGTCTGTTGCCGAATGCATAAATATTCCCTTTACCACCGAGGGTCAAATGTCTGCTTTTCTCAGAAACTGTCGGAGAAATGCTGGTGAATATGAACATCAGTGCCGCATCTTTGGACGAATTTTATCCGTCGGTTACGATAACTATGCTGCTTAGAATTTTGAAGGATCCGACTTTGTCACCCCAGCATAATCTGGTTGTGAAGGTTTGATACAGTTTTGATTTCATTCAGTTGACATGTATTGAACATATACTTTTTTTAGGCACTGACATTCGTTTTCAATTCACTCGGACCCAAATACGTCCCATTCGTCCAGCAAGTTATTCCGTGCTTTCTGAACTGCATCAAAGATGGAGACCCAAGCTTTCGGGAATTTCTGGTGAAAAACTTGGGTGAAATCATTGGAATGGTCCGTTTGCATATACGGCCATTTTTGAACGAAATCTTTGACCTGATCAAGGTTGGTTAATTTTGTATTACTCTTATCATCATGAGCATCCCATCATGATGTTCTTCTACCTAGATCATGGAATTATTTATGGTAAAATTCAGGGACTTGGAGCAGAGTTGAAAAATTTTGCTCCAATCCAGGCACAATCACCTGCTCTGGGCTAGTGCTCTACACCAGGGCTCCAGAGTTCCGTACACTTTTCAGAACCATTGACTAGTACAGTAAAATCCCATAACAATAAATCTTGTTGTACAACTTTTTCTATGTCCTAGTAGTTTTTCTATAGGAGCAATGCTATAAAAATTTTATTCTTTACAAACTAATTTTCATTAGTATACAGTATTTCCAGTATAAAAAATGTTGCTTTGATTATATCTGTGCTGTATGGGCAATGAGAATTTTTAAGAACTGGCACAAAATTGGAAAATCTAACGTGAACTTTATTAAAAACACCAAAAAATATAAATTAAAATATTTATAAATTTTCATATTCATAGCTATAATATGGGTAGTGGTCCATATGAGCCTCTACCTATCTTATAAAGGCTCTCTAAAAAGAACTATCTCAAGCAATTTTTTCTGGTCCCCTGAATTTTGTTTTATAGACCTGTGCTCTGTAACCTTTTTGGGCCCACGGACTGGCAAATTTCGAAAAAGATGTCTGCAGATGGGCTAAGTTTAATAAAATTGTTGCAGATTCAAAAAAGTTTTGCTTGAAAGACTTTATGGCTGGCTTTTAAAGAGATCTTGTCTTTTTGTTGTTGCAAAAATTAAGAACTAATAATTCAGCTGTACAGTGGAATGTCTTAAAAAACTAGAATTGTTGGTTTGAAGAGTTTGAAAAAATTAAATGATTAATTTCAGGAATTGAAAATTTGTCTGAAGTTCATGAAGAGAAAAGCCAACTTTCATTTTTTTTCAGATCATTTCAACTGCCATGGTCTTCCCAGCATTTGAGATAAAGATGACAGACTTCATTGCTAATTGTTAAAATTTATTATGCTGCAAAAAACTGTTCGCAGACCAGCAATAAACATCTGCAGACTGGCGCCAGTCTGCAGAGCATGGGTTGGAGAACAGTGGTACAGACTATAGAGGATGAAGTGTCCACCTGTACAGTGGTAGAACAACCAAGGGATGCATGTTTCCAGTTAGATGTTAATGACTTATTCTAGGGGAGGGATTTCTTTTGGCTGGCACCAGCCAAACAAACACATACAGTGCTGGGGGCTTTCCTCAACATTCTAAATTGCCTCATTTGGTATCTGTACATATTCTCAAAGTATGAAAAATTAATACAAGTGGACCATGGGGTACTTCTGTAACACACACACATCCACGTCTTTGAGGTTTTTGAAAAAAAAAAGGATTCATGATGTGGTTTGAGGACTTCATAGGAGGGAGGTGGTTTTGATGACTGGTGCCAGCCAAACAGTCACATATGGCTGGGGTTTTCCCTGAATTTTTCAAATTTTATCATCAGGATTGGAGCTCGGAGCAGCTTAAAATTTTTCCTGCTCTGGGCTCCGCTCTGCTATAGCTAAAAATACTCTGCTCCAGCTCTGCTCCAAGTCCCTGGTAAAATTAATTGTTCCTATGCCCGGTTGAATTACACCTGACGACAAGAGAGGAATTCCTTTTTTGTCTCCTCCTCAGCAGTCCTCCATTCCAGCGGTCATTCTATTCTTGTGTGGAAAAAATTTGGAAAGCGTGAAATCTTATTGGAACGCAACCATAATGGGGGCTCTTAAGCATTCAATATTAAACATTTCTGGACCATTAGTTCGCGACCCTTGAATGTTTCTTACAGTTTCAAGGCTCTTGCAGAAAGTTACGGCATTGGAACTGTGTAACTTAACTGGCTTTGTTTTGTTTTTTTGCAGGATTTCTGGACGTTGAATAGTCCCATCCAAGGAACATTGATATTATTGGTGGAGAACGTTGCTGCCGCGTTGGGGAGCGAGTTCAAAGCATATATGTCGCGCTTGGTGCCTCAGATCTTACGCGTATTGATGCATGATCCGTCTAAACAACGCAGTGTTACTGGAAAGGTTTGTCGGCAAATTTCGTTCTTTTTTTCTCACCTTTTTCCAAAATCCGTCTGTTATTCTGTCTATAGTTATTGCTAGCATTGCAAAAGTTCGGTGGGCATTTGGACGACTGCGTGCACATGGTGTTGCCTCCGTTGGTGAAACTTTTTGATAGTCCTGAAGTGCCTGGGCCGATTCGACGGCTTGCCCTCGTTACGCTTGAAAAATTGATGGATCACCTTGACTTCACAGAATTTGCTTCAAAGTAAGCTGTTTAATACTGGACGCGTTTGTGTAAGACTCGCTTTTGTTTTTGGGGAGTCGCAAACTCATTTTCTGTATAGAAACTGATGCTTTATTTCTTGAGATTTCCTAGACTTTGTCATTTCTCAATTCGGTTGCTAATCCTCACTATCATAATGCCCGGTCTGCACTTTTCGGTTTAGATGGTTTAATTTTTAATGTATTGTTTCACTTTCCAGATTGATTCACCCGCTCGTGAGGACACTGGAGAAATCTCCGGAGTTGCGACCGGAAGCTATGAATGCCATATGTGCCCTGGTTTCTCAGCTGGGAAAGCAGTACGAGGTTTTCATACCTCTTGTTCATCGAATCCTGCGAGAACAGCGGATTCACCATGAAACATACGATTGTCTACTCTCTAAATTCTTCCCTGCAAAAGGTGGCGTTCTAGCGACTGATATTCATGACGTGCTACTTAGTCGACCAAAACCGTCGAGTTTCAAAGCGCAGGAAACTGCCCAAGATTCCGGAGCTGCACCTTTCAAGAATAAGGTTCGATGGAATTATAATTTTACTCATTTGCATGCTTTAATTGCCAAAGCAAATCATTCAATTAGCTGAGCATCACACCGGCTAATATTTTGAACGCTTGGGAGGCATCGAGCCGAGTATCGAAAGACGACTGGCTCGAGTGGCTGCGACGAGGAGGAATAGAATTACTCAAGAGTTCCCCGTCACCTTCTTTACGGTGAGTTGACCGAAAGTTGAGCATGTTCTGTTGATTCAAATTCACGATGATTCCTCAGGTCTTCGTCGAATAAGCATTGAAGAAAATTTTCGAAGGATTTCTGTAACCTGACTTTTTTTTGTGCCTTTCAGGTCTTGTTCATCCATTGCACAGAACTACTCTCACCTTTTGAAAGATTTGTTCAATGCTGCGTTTGTATCAGTTTGGGCTGAACTCGGTCCTGAGCATCAAACAGCATTGGCCAAAAATTTGGAAACTGCCCTGAACGTCGCCCAGGATATTACCGAAATCACGCAGACGATTCTTAATCTGGCCGAATTCATGGATCATTGTGATAAGGTACTAATGTTTTTTATTACGCATTTAAATTCACAGGTTTTCTCTTTTCCAATTATGAGATAGGTTTTAAATTGATTTTTTTATTCGGCAGCTTATTTTCAGGGAATTTCCTATGGCTGCTTACTGGAATTTCGATCTAATATCAAAATTGTTAACTGTCGAGAAGTTTTTTTCAGCCATTACAGACTGCAGTTCATGGAAAATCTTGGCTCCTTACTCTCGTCTACTGTATTAATGATGTAATTTGATTTGTATGACCGTTATTACAAAATCGTTTTATTAATTGACGCGGATATTTTTTCATTGGACTTTCTACCTCGAGAAGTTTTCGGAAATCGTGCTATGGCCTATTTTAATGAATCAAGGTAGTAACTATTTTTTTTTTCTTGTTGGAAATCCAGTTTATTGTATGTTGATAATTACCTTCTATTACACAGGGACCTCTACCGCTAGATCCTCAGTTACTTGGTCGGCGTGCAATGGAATGTCGCGCTTACGCCAAAGCTTTGCGATATAAAGAGGACGAGTTTCTCAAAAATGGACCTTCGACGGAAGTTGTTGGGGCGTTAATTTCGATCAATAACAAACTTCAACAAAAAGAAGCAGCTTCAGGTGCGTAAACAAATTGAAACCAATAAATCCAAGATGATCATTGGTACGTTCTACTGTAATTTGTTTTAAAGCGTTATTGAAGTGACCCATTTTGTGGATCTGAGGAAAAAACCATTCCCAGCTTGACCAAACGCATTTTATCCGTTCTACAGTAGATGTACTGTGCAGGAACAAACATTTTCTTCTTCCACTGTATCTCTACTTGACACTTTACTTCTTAGGCTTGCTCGGCTACACTATGAAGAACATGAATCAAGATTTGACGATAGAAGAAGCGTGGTACGAGAAATTGCACAACTGGGAAGCGGCTCGGAAGGCATATGAACGAAAACTTGAGAATAAACCCGGTGACAAAACGCTCACGCTTGGCCAAATGCGTTGTTTGCAAGCTCTTGGGGAGTGGGACAAACTCCACGACATTGCGAGCAAAGAATGGGACAGTGCCCCATTAGACATGAAAGAAAACATGGCAACTATGGCTGCAGCTGCTGCTTGGGGCCTGAATAAGTGGAACGAGGTTACGAATTACACTCATCTCATCCCGAGAGACACTCAAGAGGGTTGCTTTTTTCGTGCCGTGCTTGCGATTCATCACGGTGACCACTTGACTGCTCAACCGTTGATTGCTTCAGCTAGGGATCTGTTGGAAGTTGAACTGACGACCATGGCTGGAGAGAGCTACGAAAGAGCTTATGGTCCAATGATCAATGGTCAGATGTTGGCGGAATTGGAGGAGGTCATCACTTACAAAGTCGTTCCGAGGAAGAGGGATGCGTTGCGGCGGATGTGGTGGGATCGCCTGCAGGTAAACTTAGCCTCCTCGACTTGCGTTTTAGCAGAAAAATGTGGCTATCAAATCGGATTTTTAAATCCTTGGACTAATCAGTCGATGAAAACAGAAACAAGTTTAAATCTTTAATATCAAGTACCCATGAAACTGAGCTACGAAAGCTATGTTGTGTGCCGCTTGAATCATTGTAGAAGAAGAGGTGCAGAAGCCTCGTGAAAAGTTTTAGTAGAATTTTTAGACTACCCGGAACGATAACTGATCAACAAAAATGCAGTAGAATCTTGTCACAAGCAATTTGTTTACAACGAATCATTGTTCACAAAGAATTTGTCTCTTTAGTCCCTGTCCAATGGCTACAATCGTATTTCAATTACGTTTTGTCGAATTTTTGTTTATAACGAAGCATTTTTAAGGTCTCAGACGCTTCGTTGTAACGTGATTCTAATTTATTTTACCGAACTTTGAATCATCTGTAGACGCTTGAAAATTAACAACGCATACAAGAACTTCTTCAGCCCTCGTAAAGGACAAGGAAATTTCCTTGCAATTTCTTAGATTATTCTTATTCTCCACTCTTGACGTACCATTTCGATGAGAACCACACCCTGGATATCATTCGGAGAAAGGAGACTAAACCTTAATTTTACCTTTTTTTTCTATGGTGATTGCTTCGACCGTTCTAGAGATACAAGTCATACAACATAGGTGTTATAGAATCGTTCTACTCTTTTTTTGGTCCACCGTGTGTACTGTGAAGGGATTTTGTGAATTTTCCAGGGTTGTCAAAAAACAGTCGACTACTGGCAGAAAATTCTTCAAGTTCGTTCGCTCGTCTTGAGCCCGCAAGAAAATCAGGAAGCTTGGTTGAAGTTCGCATCGCTGTGCAGAAAAGCAAACCGTTTATCGTTGTCGCAAAAGACGTTAACTATGCTGACAAGTCCAGCGATCCCTACTGGTCTCGAGATAAGCGGAGGCGGAGATTCCGTGCCACCTGGTCCCATTATTCCTTCGAAAGAAAATCACAAGGTTTTATTTGCTCTCACGAAACACCTTTGGGATGCGGGATTCAAAGATGAGGCATTCAAGTAAGTGATGTCATAATTTTTCCCTCGTCTCATTTTGAGGTACATTGTCCTGACTTTCCGCAGGAAACTTTCAAAACTTGTCCAGTCGTCGCTCACACCGTGGGCAGCCCAAATGCAAGCCGAAGACAGTCAAATAGAAGTAATCGCCGGAAAGACGCGGCCTGGAAAAGTGACAGAAGCATCGAGACTTTTGGCGAGATGCTTTCTAAAATTGGGTCGATGGTATGAAGCGTCCCAGTTGGCTAAGTCTGCTCACATGACGCCTGATGGAGCCTCTAATCAACAAAGAACGATAACGCCAATTATTCAATACTATGCTGCTGCAACGAAGCACGATCCGACCTGGTAATATCGTAATTTTACGCTTCCGCGAGTAATTAATGAGCATCCCGCTTTAGGATTACCTTATTTACTCGATTACCACGCGCCGAGTAAGACACGCACTTGAGTTTTTCAGTTAAAATTTGGGGAAAATTCTATACCCGCATCAGACGCGCACCGTAGTCTTCATTACCAAAGTCGTGCGGTATTTAACAAACTGCATGGGGTAAAAATCTAAATACAAGCCCACTTGAAAGATGACTTCAATGTTGATGTTTTTTACGCGAAACAAAGAATCATCAAAAAAGGACTTCGAAAAAATTTTGAAACGGGGCAAAAGGTCGAAGTTTAAAAATAATACTAGAAAATTTGTACCCGCCGATGACGCGAGCATCATTCCCCCCCCCCCCTTCCCCCCACCCCCTTCTTGGAAAAAAGGTTCGCGTTGTAATTGAGTAAATTCGGAAATTAAATTTCGAGCGCAAAGGAAATTTTAGTTTCTAAGCGATGGAGGTACAATTTTCGAGTAATATTTTTGTGTTATTAGGTACAAAGCATGGCATTCTTGGGCTTGTATGAATTTCGAGGCCGTGTTGCTGCATAAGCAACAAGGAGAAAATCGAAATGGCATTGCCGTGAACCGTTCTGACAGCGAGCAGTCGTCAGTGAATAATTTCGAAGAAGATCTAGGGTCAAAGGATGCTTCAGTCAAAGTTCCTCCGAACTTCAGTGCGAATGTTGGGAAAGAAAGTCCTGCGTACATCACGCAGTTCACTGTCCCTGCCGTGAAAGGTGAGTGCACGTACGTATTTCGAAATTGGCGTGATCTCATCATTTTACCACTATCTTGCAGGGTTTATTCGATCGATCGGATTAGCCAGTGGATCCTCTTTGCAAGACACGCTGCGCTTGCTGACTCTATGGTTTGACTTCGGAAATTACCCCGAGGTTTATGAAGCGCTGAAAACGGGTGTCCAGACGATCGATTTGGACACTTGGCTCCAAGTTATCCCGCAGCTCATTGCCAGAATCGACACTCAGCGGATGCTGGTCGCGAAGCTCATACATCAACTCTTGCGTGAAATCGGTCAATTGCACCCGCAAGCTTTGATATACCCTTTAACCGTGGCGTCAAAGTCGAGCTCTGTTGCGAGAAGTGAGCCTGCGAACAAGATTCTCAAATCGATGCGTGAGCACTCGCAGAACTTGGTGAATCAAGCCATGATGGTCAGCGATGAGCTGATTCGAGTTGCCATTTTATGGCATGAATTGTGGCACGAAGGCCTCGAAGAAGCCTCAAGGCTATATTTCGGTGATCGAAATATCGAGGGCATGTTTCAAACATTGGAACCGCTACACGCGAAGATGCGCCGTGGCCCACATACGTTGAAGGAGACATCTTTCACTCAGGTCATTTTCTGAAATTATTGTCCCTCCGAAGCGAACCTTTCAATAACTTAGGCGTCATGAGATTTTTTTTTCGTAAATTGAAAGCTGTACGTTAATGCACTCAATAGAAAGATTTTTGAGGCTTCTGAGCTGATTCCAATGTTTAATGTAGACTATGGGTCGTGGAAGCATTTTTCGTCTTATGTATGACTTTTTTGCCTATTGAAAATTGTCTGTGAACTCATCCATTTCAGGCATACGGCCGGGACTTGCAAGATGCCCACGATTGGTGCAAACGTTACCGGGAGACTTGCAATGTACGGGAATTAAACCACGCGTGGGACTTGTATTACCATGTCTTCCGAAAAATTACTCGTCAGTTACCTCATCTGTCTAGTCTCGAGCTTCAGGTATTGTGTCATTTTCTATTCACGACCGTTCGAGATGCATTAAATGTTTTTTGTGTTGCAGTACGTGTCGCCTAAGTTGTTGCAAGCGAAAGATCTGGTTTTGGCCGTACCAGGTACTTACGTCCCCCATCAACCGATTATTTCGATCGCGTCAGTACAATCAAACCTGCAGGTGCTCATGTCGAAACAGCGACCACGACGTATTGTCATCAAAGGTAATTTACCTTGAGATATTATTGAACTTTCACAGCGTTAGTTGTGAACGAGAGTTGAGTTGGGGTTTCATTAAAATTTGCTTGTTTCCTGATGCGTCACAGAAAAATTCGTGGTGGAATGGAACTGTCCAGGTTTTTCAGGATGATGGAACTGGATTTTTTTTAATGGCCCCCTAAAAAGGAGAAAAAGGAAAAAGTCATGAATTTATTGAGGCGTGTTTTCCCAGGAAGCAACGGTGCAGACTATACATTCCTGTTGAAGGGGCACGAAGATTTGCGACAGGATGAACGAGTGATGCAGCTGTTCGGTTTGGTGAACACGTTGTTGATGCAAGATCCCGAAACTTTCAGGAGAAATTTAACGATTCAGGTACCCAAATGGCCGTATTGCAGCCTTTTGTGAACATAACTATGCATATTATGCACTGTATTTCTGAAGCTGTCTTGCATTTACAGCGGTATGCCGTTATCCCGCTCTCAACGGACAGCGGACTTATCGGCTGGGTTCCTGATTGTGACACACTTCATGCGCTGATTAAAGACTACCGAGACAAGAAGAAAGTCATGTTGAATATAGAGCATCGGATTATGCTTCGTGTAAGTTATCGATCTTTCCATTCGAGAATTCCCTGTCGAATTTTCTAATTTTTTTTGGACGAAGATATATTCGAAAGTTTATGTTGATGCAAAATACTGCGTAACATTTTTCAAGGTGTCTTTCGAGTAAAATTGCGAAATTCATTTTTCTTGCACTTGCTCTATTTCTGTCTTCGAAAGACCTCACCCATGGGTCCAAATCGAGATGTCAAGTGGAAAGTTCTTCATAGCCTTGTACAGAGTAGCAGTGCTTTTGTATGCTACCACGCTTCATATGCAATTCAAACAATAAAAGGGTCCTGGTAGGAAAGATAAGGAAAGCCAAAATAATGTGCGTCCGACTGGTAAATCGTTTTGTTTTCAAGTATGGAAATTCCCCGCTTAGCAGCCGAATAATGTATAATGTCGAGACAAATAATATTAAATAAAATATAAAAACTGCTGTATATCGATGAGCTTGACTAGTGTATTACATTAGGTTGCATTGAACCGTGCGTCGAACAGACTTGGAATGTATTTGCTCGGCCTAGAATCAGGCGTCTGAAATCAAGCCATTTTATGGTAATGAAGGAATTTCTTCGTAATTTTCAGAACTTTGGAAAATACATTTGGATTTTTATTTCATCGTGGGCACATCAAAGGGGATTTTCGAAGTTTGATACGGGAAAAGAAAAGGCTCGATTTTATTTCATATCCAACCCAACGATTCTGTGATCGAGTTCCTACCGACAAGCCCTTCCCGTTCGCTCCAATTGTTTACAGTATTTCCAACTTTCATCCTCGTTGTTCAGGGTCATCTACGACTAATTTACGAATTCTGTGATGTTTGAAATTGCGTCCAAGAAAAATTCTCACGAAAGAACGAACTTGTCAAACCTGAAGTTACCGAACCTAAATTACATTAGCCTGACATGAATTAAATTAACTTTTCCTAAATTGAATTTATCTAATCTGAATTAAATTAATCTAACCTAACCTAACCGAAATCGATGAACTTTGAATCCTCATATAAAGCATTAAACTTACTGGTTTTCCCGATTTTTTGATGCTATAGCCATAGACAATGGTCCCCTAAAAACAAAGAATGAAAATTCGCCCGGAGCGTGAAGAACAGGTGGGGGTAGAACCGGTTACCGGTAGATGACTCTCGTACATATCCCAACCCAACCAGAGATAATCCATGCTTATCAAACGTTCTTTTCAGATGGCAGCTGATTACGAGCACCTAACTTTGATGCAGAAGGTTGAAGTGTTCGAACATGCCTTGGAACACACAGCCGGAGACGATCTGGCGAAGTTGCTGTGGCTCAAGTCCCCAAGCTCTGAAATTTGGTTTGATCGAAGGACCAACTACACTCGATCATTAGCGGTCATGTCGATGGTGGGCTATATCCTTGGACTCGGCGATAGACATCCAAGCAATTTAATGCTATCGCGAACAAGTGGGAAAGTTTTGCACATTGATTTCGGGGATTGCTTCGAAGTTGCCATGACTAGGGACAAGTTTCCGGAGAAGATACCTTTCCGCTTGACGCGCATGTTGATCAATGCAATGGAGGTTAGCATTCCCGTGAATCATGCATGAAATTCTCTGGATGGTTTTTTACTAATTATTTTTCTTTGAATAGGTAACGGGTATTGAGGGGACGTACCGCATGACGTGTCAGAGCGTTATGAATGTATTGAGGAAGAATAAAGATAGTGTCATGGCTGTCTTGGAAGCGTTTGTACACGATCCCTTGCTGAATTGGCGCTTGGTGGAGAACAACAGGGGTGGAATCGGCACGATGCCTGCTGGCGCAACACTATTGCCGGGGAAAACAGCTGGTCAGAAAACAAACAAAGACATGTCACCGGAAGACGAAGCAGAGGATTTCTTGGGGCTAAAAGATGGCCCGTTATTCTCGTGCCAGCGAACTCTTCCCAAAAGTGAGTTGATTCTTGGACTCGAATCGTGATACTGTACAAACTTTTCTAAGCTTGCGGAGTCGCGTCTGACATCCTGCTGCGGGATTCGAAAACATAAAAAAGGATATTCTCTAAATAAATCCGTGTTCAAACGCGGATTTTTGGAATTTTCAGCACGTCTGAAGGGATTTCTGGAAACAAATTTTTTTTGATGAAAATCCATACGAAGCAGGGAAATGTTTTCATGCATGGTGAAGATGCCGGTATTAGATAAATTCATTTTTAAAGTTTTTTTCTGAAGGATGAAATATGATGGTGAAAGAAATCGGTGATTTATAGTGTACTGTGTCGTTTAGTGTGATGAAAACACAAAAAATAAGGATAGCATGCGTTTTAAGTTTGAATGAGCTTAATTAACGATGCTCCGCCTGTTTTTAATTAGATGAAGTTGATGACCCCGCTGAAACGCTCAATAAAAAAGCCGTGGCCATTGTGAATCGAGTGAAAGACAAATTGACTGGGAAGGATTTTAACCCGGAAGAGCGTCTGACTGTGGAGAAGCAAGTCGATCTATTGATTCGACAAGCAACGTCGCATGAAAATTTGTGCCAGTGTTATATTGGATGGTGAGAAGAATCATAGTCTTTTCTTTTTTATCGGTTGGCTAATTTTCTTCTTCTAATCTCAGGTGTCCGTTTTGGTGAGCACCATGCGAATCACCCCGCTGAGGAATTTTGAAACAGGAGGGAAAGGCCTTTTTGTAGTTCAGTTAGTTGGCGCATGTTGCGGCATTGATTGAAAAGTTGTTGCAATCGTTTTCGAGGATTTTTGCATCCCCGAGAAGATGATGTTCAATTTTATTTTTGTGATAATCAGACACGGAAGAAAATCTTAACTTGGGAATCGGAATTGTCTGATTAGTCCTCATGGTCACCGGCATTGTGGCTTCCTTCATGTTCTTCCCTAGCTTCGGAATCATCCCAGTCGAGATCCTTCGACCAGTACGTCAGTTTATTGGCATTGATGAATCTTCGCAATGCGTTTCGCAGTGCGTTCCAGGTTGAGTCAGAATTTCCTTGTGACAGCTGGCTGCTCCCCGAAGTGTCCTTTCCGTGGAATGTTCGTAAATTCATTAATGCATGAATGAAAACAAATTTCTGAACTTGATTGAAACTTAGATTCAGCAGTCACTAACTTTTAAAAAATTGTCAAGCTCCGAGTTTTCCGAATTGTTCATGAGTTATTCTGCGTATGACTCGCACACGAGGTGAGAAGACTGAAGGCTTCAGAAGTTGAAGCATTTTAAGTTTTCATTATTGCCTCGACTAACTTTGGGTTCACACTTCTCAGATCGATTGAACTTGATCATTGTATTTGAATTCGGAGGGGATTTATGATATATGCAGGAAAAGGTGTCCAGAAAGTTATCTTGCTGTAAGAACGTTGTAATCCGGAGAAAACGGTTTCGTACACAGTCCATAACCATGGCAAATACTTTTGGTGTGATTTTAATTTTACATTTTCATCCCACGTATAATCAAAAAGTATTGCTGCAGTTCATCCAGGTTGAATCGGCTGTTGATGAAATGGTATGGAAAAAAGATTAAATTTTGAATTTTTATGTTTCACTGGTCAATTTTTAAAAATAACGTTATGAGTCACCCTTTTAGACGCACTTCATCGTGTGTATCTCCCCAGATTCGAAAGAAAGCTTGAGTGCGCATGACCGGGCGATAACTTTTTGGACACCCGGTATAATGCATGGGCTGCAATGATGGGAATGGGTGCGAAGAGATACTAACACCAAATATAGTGCCAAACCATTCGCAAACGTAGCGTGTTATGGTCACTGGTGAGTATTCGTAAAGGAACTCGCCAAACTTGTCGACGATTGATGGGTCCTGAGTGTCGATCGGCACGATGGGATCCAGGTGGGAAGTGACGTTTCGTTTGTAACCCAAACCGCGATAGAAGCTGATGAGTTCAGGACGTTCAATGTCCAAGTGAGCCCGTTTGAATCCACACTCAAGTACCGCGAATTTTTCCGTGAGCTGGACCAGCAAAGAACCGTAGCCCTTTCTGCGCCACTCGGGGTCAATGATGATGGAGCCAATGAAGCAGTCGTCGTCTTCGCCTTGAACTCTGCATATCCTGCTGTGGCCCATCATCACCTGCTGCCGCTTTCTGTTTTGAGGAAGGAGGTCGTTATTTTTTCATCTTTTCTGATATTTCCGCATATCCCAAGCACACGATTTTTTTCTACTGAACAGATTTCGTATAAATTTCAGAACTTTGCGCAGTCAGTAGTCAGGTTTTGTGTTGCTGGATCAGGTTTTGTTTTATATTACACTTGGTCAGGTTCTGAGTTGGTTCAGCCTGTTAGAATTGGTCCGGTTCAATATTGCGGCCGCATCAGCCCAAGATGTATTTGAAAGCGGGGTCCACTGTTTTACCGAAGACAAATGCGCTAGGAATGTACGAACTACATTATGCAATATAGTACAGTATTTGTCTGCAAGTACTTCGGCACAACATATTTTGAATGAGGGCGTGAAGTACAGTACCAAAGACGAAACAAACCCCAGAAGTAGTTGTCTTAGCTGACCCAGAATCTGAAGGATTTTAAGAAAATGATGCGGTGATTCCGGATCTGTTTTACGGAAATGCGTGTTTACCTTGGATGATCTCCGGAGTTTGTCGCATTATTATCCTTCGTTTCAGGACTGATCATAACCAGTGAAATTGGAAATCCTGAATTTGATTGTTCCAGCCACTTCTCTCGTGAATTGTATCCTGCACAAGGCCATTCACGATTCAACAACAGACAGCAGTATTCGACTGCGTTGCGTCTCCGGGGCTCTGGAATTACATGAATCGGCACAAGTTCGCAATCACTTGACGGCATGACGGAGACCTTAGTGGGTTCTTCGCTGAGAATTTTGTATAATCGTGATAAGATGGTCTAATTTTTTTCCCACTTGAATATAGAAGTCTTGCATGCATTCCATCGCGTAAAAATTTTCTAAGTGCTCCATTGAGTAATTTTCACCTGATAGATTCATTTATGATTTGAATCGATTATTTCTTCGAAGACATATGTTCATTATCGATGCCATGGCTACGGTCGTTTCTTTTTTTGTTTTGCTGTTCCGAATGTCGAGTTCGATTTTCGTAGTTACCATGCGAATGTTTTAGAATCTAGAACATTTTTATGGAAACTGAATTGAATTTGTTCCTCTTTGTTCGCTTTGTGCAATTCCTTTTTATCTTCAATGTCATATTTGTTTCCCTAGTGCTCGTGTTCGCTTGCGTATGTGTTTCGTTCGCTTCAATTGTTCGATCTTAAATTTTTAACTTATCGTGAGCGTGGCATATTTTCTTCCTATTTTATTTTTCGCGAATAGTGATTTATTATTTCTTGTTGGAAAAAAATCGCTTCAGTTGCAGTGCGGTGAGAAAATCGAAGCATGCTGACGTTG